AGAGAGAGAGAGAGAGAGAGAGAGAGAGAGAGAGAGAGAGAGAGAGAGAGAGAGAGAGAGAGAGAGAGAGAGAGAGAGAGAGAGGTAGAGGTGATGGTGGAGATGGTGATGGTGATGGAGAAGGAATGCTGTCAAGCATGGAGGCAACAACACACATCAGTGATGGCACACACCTCACACCCACCCTGTATACGAGATACTCCAAGACTTACAAAGTGACTGCTGCTTGGGTATACCCCTTGCTGACTGACCAGATTGGACTGAGTGGTACCGACATTGTTACCGGACTGGACTATTATCCGGCCTTTGTGGTCTGGTCGACGACCTGGTCCCACATGCCGAACTTGAATGGACAATAGCCGAAAGAGTCCAGCATATAGCTGGGCCCAGAGCACCACTGCAACCATGGTCTCTTGCTGGGATGTCCCAAAGTCCATCATTCAGTGTAACAGGCAAGGTATGGTACCATTGTCTTCCTCTGAAGACAACGCACTCTTCTTATGACTGTATAGGACTGGAAAGTGTAAGATACCTTGTATACATTTGTGACGAGGGATACCTTGTATACATTTGTGATGAGGGTGCGCTGTGTTCCGGGGAAGAGGGTACTAGTATTATTGTGATTAAAGCACCAGTTCGTTTACCAGCCATTTTTTCAGAGTCGCAGTGTGCATGCTGCGGCGACTCTCGGGAGGTACAGGAGTGCCGTTTCGCGGCACATCCATCCCGGCAAAATGGGTCTCATGCGAGGCCTGTTTTTCCAGGATGGATGTGCAGCGAAATGGTGCCCGAGTACTTCCTGGGAGTCACATAAGCATGCACGCTACGACTTTGAAAAAATGGTTGGGAAACGCACTGGTGTCGACCAGTAGAAGGGATCTGCCGGCACGTGGAATTACCTGTGTAATCGCCTCGTGTCTGTCACCCACGGGAGAGCTCCTGCAACCTGCAAAACGAACCAGGTCAGTATCCAATTGCATGCATCCGAGCACACAACCGCGGTAGAATAACAAAGCTTGATTGCAGACAAGAAACATCTGATCTGTAACGAAGAGTTCGTCCACCTCAGACTCCCCCCAACTGTATCACAGTGGTGAAACTGCAGAATTTTGGGCCACAATCTGCGTAGCAACAGTCCTAGTGCACGGTCTAGTTGGGACCCTGGGTCACATATAGTGCCGCCTTTTTCCCCACGCCAGTGGTCAATTTGGTAGCACATTTACAGCAGCGGTATTTCTCCACTGTCGAGACCATACCCTCCCGCTGCTGAGACCGAGTCATTTCGCTGAGACCGCACACATGTTGAGTCTGAATTGCCGCTGCATTTTGTTGCTGTTGCGTTATCTTTCCAAGTGCTCTCCGCCGCTACTAACAGTGTCTGTTGACTCTGTTGAGTCTGTGTTTTGCCAGCCTAAGTCTGGGTCCGCGGACCGTTGTTTCGGAACCTCAATGTGTAAACTTAGGTTCAAGCCTGTGTGAGGGTCCGTAAATGGTCTTCTGTGACCGAGCTCTCAGCCTTGATGAGTCTGTTCTCGAAGTCTCAACTCTAAGTCTGACGTTTCCACGATCTACCTCGTTTTGTGTTGGACTCCGCTGTTTGCTGTCGGTTGTTCCCGATTTACAGAGTCCGCAATCTTCTGTTCCCTGAGTCTGAGTCTGCTGAGTCCGAGTCCCGAGCTTTCCGTTGCTTGCATGAGTTTGAGTCTCCAGACTTCTGAGTTCGGGTCTCCCAACTTGCGTTTGCTGCAGCTATTTTAGGTTTCTGGACATTGTACTCTCTTTCTTCCGCACTCGAGATCTCCTGAGTTTGAATGTCTGCTCAAGCAGAACACAGGCAGTGAGTGGGAAACACTTTTTCTGAGCTCAAACATTTGGGTATTGCGATCACAGTTTGCTAAGCTTTAGACACTCTCTTCTTTTGCAATGCCGACCATTGATCCTGAACCAAAGAACTGTCCCCACTCATTGCTTCGCCGCTCATGCTGTTCTTGCGTCAGGGAGCTGATGTGGCACAGTGGCTGCTTCCCATCACCGTATCAACCCCTCTCCCCATTTGAAATCGGTGGCTCGAAACAACGTCTTAGACTCAGACGTAACTCACCCAGCTCGTACTTGAGAGAAGTTAGGTTCCCAGCTCGTGACTGGGGCGTTTCCCTCGAACATGCAAATCAAATTTTATAGGAGAGAAAAAATTTGACTCGGGGCATTTTTGGAATTCGATGTAAACAAAGTGGCGGTTTCGATATTCCGATGGTTTTGTCAGTTTCTCCCCGTACTTTCTAGCATGCTTCAATCCACCTGTAGCGCACGCATCCAAGACACTGTCAGACTCTTCCTTTCATTGTATCACATCTCATTCATTTTCTTCTCAATAAGAATGGCCCTTCTGCGAGAACATGCGAAAGTATGCTGCCATATCTCCTGCGTTCACTCTCCAAACAACAATACAAAA